AAGCCACTCAGGGGAACAAGGGTTTAGGGGGAGAGAGAGCTCCCCGGGCTGACTCAAAGAGATTCCCTTAGAACAGATCTCGGGTCCCTGGGGCAGGGCCTCCCTCCTGAACCTGGGGGCAAGTGCTGGCTGGGAAAGCAAGCTAGGCCACAGGTACAACCCAGGGCGGGCCAAAAATGACCCAGGGCAGAGAAATTCCCATCAGCCTGATGGGATTAGACAGGGTGGGAGAGGGGGTAGAGCTCAGAGTTTAAAAAACAAAAAGCTTCTTGGTCTCTAGAAAACAAAAACGTGCTATTTCTCGAATACTTGAGGTTCCACCTGCTACTCTCCTATTCCCCAGCCTCTCTCAGCAGCCGCTGCTGGCCCACCTGGCGACACCATCCCCACACCTGCTCCAGGAGCTGCCTTAGAGGGGAAAACAGCACAGAGCCCAGGACAGGCACCACACACACAGAAGCCAAGGAAAGGATGACCATTCCTCTGATAATGGGCTACTTCTGGTCTTGCCAGAGTCAAAATTCCCTGGACAGAGTCCAGTGTGTGCACACTGAACATCAGTAGATTAATACGATTGCTCTCTAAAATTCATGATTTTTTTTTAATGGGAGAAATTATCTACTAAGTGGAGAATAAAACAGTGTCTTAGACTCAAGGCATTTGTAGTATGCAAATATTACAGAAAGACAAGCTCTTTTCTAACCGTGTTTGCTCTATTTCTCCTACAGCACAAACACATTTACATGGGCCCGAGGCACTTTATTCGGAGGCTTTACTTTTCCAACATCTTCCTCAGAAAGTACCCTCAGGCCTCAAATGCTTTTGCTTTTACTAAACTTTAAACGCCTGGACTAAATTTAGTTTCTTGGAAATAAGAAACAAATTTGCTGATTCTTTTTTTAATTCTATCAGTTGTATAATTCCCCAAATGACAAACAAATGATAGCAGAGAGAGGAAATGAAGACATTTTTCAGATACTTTTTAATGGTATAGTATTTATCTCTAAAATACAGTTTGATTTAAGACATCAAACTTGTTCCATGATTTTCAATTAGGAATTAGAGCTTTGCTGAATTTGGGGTTGAGGGGCCCGGTACAAGAATCGAATCAACATTAAAAAGTCAAACATAAAGAAATCCTCTTGAGCTAATAATAGAACCAGCTCTTCTTGAAACTAAGAAGAAAAATCCAATTAATTTTCTTAAACTAGCCGTGCACCATGCCTTCTCCCTATCATGTGGATGGTGACCAGGCACAGGTTTTATTTTGTATCAGGCCCATTTTGAAGATCCTATGGCTAGGTGAATGAGGATGTTTCCTAACACTGTGAGGAAAGGAGAATAAGGGCCCGGGAGCCCAGAGCTAGAAGCTGCAGCAGACCCCAGGGAAGGCAATCTGCTGTATGGAATCTAAAATTTGGGAAGTCCCCAGCCCAGGATCCCTGGCCACAGCTCTCTCCTCTCCGGGCCCTCCACCATTCCCAACTTCTCTAAATATTTTTAAGGGAAGGGAATCCACTGCTATTGCTTTGGAAAATAAGCTGACCCCCTCCCCCACACTGGGAAGAAGCCCAGGCAGGGTGAAAATTTCCCCAAGCCTTCGGCACGTCCAAGGAAAGAGCTCTCCCCATGACCATGCATGAGCATTTCCTAGGAAAACCTAGGATACTGAACTCACTCAAAGACTGAATTTTTCCTTATAATAGACAAACGTCCCATCTGAATTCTTACCATCGGAATTTTCCTCAACCTACCCTTGAGGAAACAATCTCTGCCCTGGCAAATGATTCCTAAACCAATGGTGCTGCAACCTCCCAATGAGGCTGCAACCCCTGATCCGACCCTCCCCACCAGGGTGCACTCTGTCCAGCCAGAGGAGCTTCCTCTGCCTCCTATGGCCTCCTCCGAGGGCAGAGCAGAATTTCCCTCTGAGATGGTTCCCCCACAAATTCCACCAACCCTCCTGGAGCTCTCCAAAGGCCAGCATCTGGGGATGAGCCATGGAAGTGCTGGAAAGTAGGCGGGCAGCGTGCATCTGTAAACATCCCTAACCTACCCCCATCACCCACGAGTGCAGACCCAGGAGTCCATGCAGCACAGTGACACAGAAGGAGCATGTGCGTGGGCAGTTCCCAGAACGAGCCCATTCCATTTTTGACCCTGATCCTGCCACTTAATAACAGCCTTCTTATCTTAGGCCAATTGTTTAACTTCATTACTCAATCGTATCTACATAAAGTATTATCTGCCTTACGTGGTTGTCGTGGAGATTAAGTGAGCTAATATATCTGAAACGAGTCTGTGAATTTGTAAAGCACTATATACATGCTAGCTATTGTTATTTCACATGACTGCACACAAGGCTGGTCCACCAGGAATTCAAGAAGAATGAAATCGCTTGGCCAAATTTACACGGACCCAACCAAACTGCAAAAAAATCAACAGAATTGGTATTCTTCATCCAGCTCCCAAATGCTGTCCATCAACAGGCCGCTTCAGACTCACATGGAGCCTCTGTAAAGATACTGATTCTAGGACCTTCTCCCAGACCCGCAGGATCATAATCTCTGCAATAAACCCCAAAACTCACATGTTAAACAAGCTTTCCAGGTGATTCTGACATGCAGTCAGGTTTGGGAACCAACAACTGCACTCCTTCGGACAGGGAGTGCAAATTTCCTACCTAGATCAGTCATGGGAATAAAATGTTCTGGTGCTGAGAAAGGACCTCTCTTTGTCTCCCCACCTCTCTCCTCAAATACACATACACTAAGATACAGAGGGTTGCTCATCCACCAGACACAAATACATCCACCAATACACACCACACATATATGCGGACACACAAAGTCACACGTACAGGTGAAAAACTGGAAGGAGAAACATACTAACAAAAAGAAGGGTGCCTAATAATGAGGCATCAAGATTTTTAAAATCTTTAGGATTTATGCTTATAAAAGATACAGAAAATGGGGGAAACACGGGAGAAGATGTTAAGACAGAGCAAGCAGTCAAAGAAGCCCCCATCTTCCATGACTGCACAGTAGCGTGTCCGGCCGGCCAATATTAGACCACCGCCCCCACCCTGCCCCACTACTCATTTGTTTGTAATTCTGCTCAACCAGGAACTTGTGAGAGGCCCCAAACGGCAGGGACATGGTGTGCTCATCACAGCAGCCCCAACACGAGCACAGAGCCTGGCATCCAGCTGCGTTCGATAAATGTGTTCAGCACACACCAGGAAGAGAAGCGGCAGGTAAGGAGGAAGGATACAGTGCACGAAGAAGGGAACCGATCTCTTGTCCCAGGTCCCTGGGTGAGGCTGAGAATAAGTAAGCTTAAGGTAATGAAGTTCAGTGCAAAACAGACAGAGATCATGTCCCTGCAGGCGTCATTAACTGCATCACAAGGAGCAGAACCACCCAGGGGAAAAGAAAAGCTCTCCAGATCTACCGGCAGGTCTGAGGTGAGTGAGAAAATTGATCCAGTGTGATATAGGCTGTTTGAAGTCACCAGTCTGCCCTCGCCACTCCTCTGCTTAGTATCCCCTCCAAAGCCCCCTAGCATCCAGAAAGTCCTACCCAACATGACCCTTATACACCTCCCCAGCCTCATCTTTGTCATTGGCCACATGCCATATTCTCAAATTATGCCAAACTCACACAACGTGCTGTGTCATTGCTCTGAGCCTGTTTGGTACAGTTAACCTCTACCTGGAATGTCCTCCCTACCTATTGGCAAAGCTCCTCTTCATCCTTCTCAACTCAGTTCTGTTATGTCCTCCTCCTCCAGGAAGTCCCCAGACTCCTGTGATACCTAGTGCCCTGAGCCGTCTTGGCCCTCAGCACACTGTATGGTCCACTGCAGGTCTCAGGAAATGCTTGTGGAGCTCAACCGAGCAGCGGCAAGATTCCAAAACATATGAGCCAGAAGACTGAGTTAAAAAGGGATCCAACAAGCAACTTGATCTAGTGGAAAGATCCTGAACATCGGAGGTTGGGGTTCAGATCAGTAGAGCGATGGGAGGCAAATTACTTAAAGACTGAATCTGCTTCCTAATCCATGTAATAAGGATAATACCACCCAACCCATACAACTAAGGAAGGAGCACCACTGCAGACCGGCACAGGCGCTCTGTACTGTACTCACTGGGATACTGCCCCCCCCACCCCCATATTTTTCAGTCTCCAGCTGGGACCATGAGCCCCTCCAAGGCCTTTTCCTTGTCCCTGGAAGACTGCTCTGGACCCAATGCATAAATGTTGCCTGGCTGGTCAGGAAACCCCCAGAGGCCTCCTTGAGCGTCCCACCGCCAAGTCTCATTTCCCATTTCCCCAACTCCCACCAATACCAAGGAGTCTGTTTCCACAGGCTCTTTAGTGGTGTTCGGGGCACATTCAACTTCCAATGCAGCTGAAGGGCTCGGGGACAATTAAAAAGCAGAGGTGGGCCCCAGCAGCAGCTGCCCAGGAGGCTGCAGGGCGCTCGCCCGCGACGCACACGCGCGCGCGGCGCACCCCGGGCCTCGGGCCTCCGCTTGCCGGGCCTGGCAGCTGCGGGAAGGAAGGAGGTCAGCGCAGCCGCCAGACTTTTCGGGGGCGCCAGCACCGGCCGGCCCTGCCACCGGACCCAACCACCGGCGACTCTGTCGCGGCGTCCACAGACCGCTACCCACCGAGTGGCTCATCTGCAGCGCCCCCTCCGCCCCGGGACCCTGGCGCGTTGCCCAAGTTGATAGCCCCGCTCTGTCCGCGCGCGCGCGCGCGCGCGGGCCCACCACACACACCCACTCCCACTTAAACACATCGCGGGGCCAGAGATGCCCCGAGCTTTTTAAAATTTAGAAATATCACACTGTAGCCGCAGCCGGCACTCCGTTACCTGCTCGCAGCACCCAGACCCCCGACCTGGCTTCCTAGGAGCCCGCAAACCCGGCACGCGGGCTGTGCGCCCTCCTGCAAACCGCTGCCCCGCGCCCGGCGCGCCGCCGAACCCCGTACCTTGGGGGTCTGCACTTCAGGTTCCGCGGGCACCTCCAACTTATTCTTGGTTACCCAGAACAACAGTAGTCCGATAATCCAGAGCACCCCGAAGATCAGCAGCGCCAGGCGGCGAGGCAGGCACCGCATGGTCCCCTTTGCTTTCTCCTCTCCCAGAGCTACGCCCCTGGGGCACCCCCTGGCGGTCAGGGTCGGCGGGGCAGGAGTCTCAGAGAGCGCCTCGCTCTGGGAAGCGCCAGCCCCGGGATCTGGGTGGAGGGCCGGCGGGATCCTGCAGGGCTCCGCGCCCGCTTCGGAGAGAAGCGAGCAGGGGTAGGGGGCGCAGGGCGCCCCGAGGCGTGGCAGGGAAAAGCCGAAGGGCAGTCAAGCTGGATGCCCGCTCCAGCCGGAGAAGCACGGTGGCGGCCGAGATGCTCCCCGCGCCGCCGTTGCCACCGCCAGGGAAACTGACTCGAGCTGCGAGAAGGGAGGAATCCGAGGCTGTGCCCGGCACCCCGGGAGGAACATGAGGGAGGAGGGAGAGGAGGGAGAGAAGGGGGAGGGTGGGCCCAACAGACAGACCTACTCTGAGGCAGCCCGGGCGGGAGCAAGCGGTGCTCTGAGAGGGGTTGCTACCGCCGCCCGCCGACCGAGGCGCACGGTGCTGTTCTTGGCCCGCCCGCGCCGAGCCCTGGGCGCCGCTCCGGGGCCACCCTGGGTTGGGGCGGGAACGGTGCATCAGCGAGGCCCGCCACCACCAGCTGCGGGTTGGAACCGAGGAGCCAGCCCGCGCCAGGAGGAGCTGTGCCTGGGAGGACTTTCCCGCTCACCGCTGGGGGCTGCACGTGGCGCTCACACCCGGCTCCAGCCCTGCATGCACTCTCCCTCCGGCTGGGCTTTGGAACCGTGCTGCCCCAACCGCCATTCGCTCCCCTGGCCAAGGCCGAATTCAGGCACCTCCCCAGGGTGTTTCTCTGCCTGCCTGCAGGTGCCTGGCAACTTTTTCTGCTTAATGGAACGCTGAGCTGGTCTAAATTTAACTTTAAAGAATTCCTTTTAAAAATTAAGGCTCAATTATCTCCTTTAAGGGTTTTCTCTCCCTATAAGCATCAGGGCTCTGTGCTTGCAAGAAAGGGGGTACAAAGTTGGGCCAACCACACGGGGTTCTTGGAAAGTGACCCTGGGCAGACGGTACTGGGGCAGAAGGTTATATCTTTCAATAGTCCCTTTTCCCAAATGCCTTTGGGAAGCGCATCCTCCTCCCTCTTGCAGACTAAAACTGCTTGCATCTAGAGGCAGAGAAAATTCCGAATTGGATTCCCATGTAGGCCTCAGCTAGGCTGGAATAATGGTGATACCACTGGACTAGGGGTTCCTGACCCAGCTCAGCCACTCTAGCTCTGTGAATCATGGGCAAGGCCTTTACCTTCCCCCCAACCTTAGATTCCTCATCTGTAAAATGGAGACGATAATACCTCCTCTGACAAGTGAATGAATAGTATGCAAGCTGAATGCAAGGTGCTGGTGTTATCTGATGATCTGATAGCTCAAAGAAGGGAGGAAAAAAACCTTGCTCTGCCTGGGCAACGGTGGCTGCAGGAACGGTGCCATTTTAATATATGCTTATCTCATCAAGTTTCTTGGGGAGGTGAAAATGATGCACCTACTACTGTAGCCTCCATCCTCCCTGCCTCTCTTGCCCCATAGAGCACAGCATAGGGGAAACCCCCATACCCTACAGGAGGTGGGGCAGCTGTAAAGCAGGGCTCTGGAATTCATTCTCCCGTGAGATGGAGCCTCCAAGAAGTGGAATCAGGAATGGAGGAATCTCTGAAAGCCCCCTGTATTTGCTACCTTGTTTTTCAGCCACAGGGCAGTCCTGTCTCACAGCCCCAAAGAGTTCTTGGCTAGGCTTAGATAAGAAGTTTTTGGTTCAGAACAGAGATGAAAATCAAACAAGCCCACAAAAGCTGAGCACTCTTGCCAGGCCATCTCAAGATTCGGCTGAGTTCTCAGGCCGTCACGCAGAACCCTGGGGATGGTCCAGGATTTGCCTGTATTAGAACTCTATACACTGAAAGGTTGGGGTGGCCTCCCAGCCACCACTTTGGCCGGGCAAAGGTCCAGGTACATCGTGGTCATGGGAGGGGTTGGAGGAGCAGCATGAGAACCCACCTCTGCAGCATCTTTAGCTCCCTGGATCTCTTTCAGGAGCCTCACCCTGGACCTGCAGGCCTGGGCCTGCAAAGTGTTCTGCGGCAGGCTCTGCAGGGGACCCCCAGGCAAGCCGCTGAGATGCTGTCAGTTCCACGCAGGAGCTGCAGCACCGTAGCCCATTGCTCAGCGCTTTGTGAGGCTGCTTCTGAGTAACAGATGGCAGACAGTTACACAACACCACCGCCAAGCTTTTGAGATGGTGCAGCACCACACTGCCTGCTGCTGTGCTGCTGAGGTGGTTGACTCTAACCGTTTGGCATCTGGAGAAATTGAGGCCCTGGGTTTCCCATGGCAGCCTTATGCAGGGCCTGCATTGCCGGGAGAGCAAGGATTTCCTTCCCAGATGCTTGCCTCTTGAATCACTATTTTGTCCTCCACTCAAGTGGAGAAGATTCCCTGGGCCTATGGAAGCTGTCAAGGAAATCCAGTTTTGCCAGGAGTCATTGCCTGATGCAGCCAAAAGGCATATTAGTCTGGATTGTCAAGCCAGAAACTGTCATTAGGATTGAAAGAGATTTCAGATGGGACTTCAAACGTCTGGAAACCAGTTGAGTCTCCACGCAGGGCCCAGCCCTGTAAGTCTCTCCTAGGACCCAGCATATTCAGGGGTCCCCCAGGCTCTGGCGGATGTTTAAAACTTTAATAACCAGCTTAAGTAATGCAGAGCACAGTTGATCCCAGTGGGGGATTAGCTATCGTTAGCGATTAATCCAAGTTACTTTTTTCTCATCACAGCCTATATGGGGAGGAAAAGCTCCCTGCAAAAGATTTAACATGGCAGGAAGTAAGAAAAATAAGTACACTCTGAATTAGCAATATCCTGGTGCCCTAAACTGGGTCTACATCTCTGGTCTTGATGTTCTAGAGCAAGTTCCTCATTTTCCTGGGCCTCAATTTCCCCATCCGTAATGGCATGCCCTCTCGAAGACCCTTGCAGCTCACACATATAGGGTTCTAACCTTCTGTGTCCCTGAAGTAGGTCTCTTTTTGCCACTCCTGTGGTTGGCAAGTCGTATAAGCTCTTGTCTCCTCGCAGCCGAAGACATTACAGAGTAAATCGGGTATTGGAGCAGATGGGAGTCATTCATGTTAGTATAAAAACTATGGAATAAAACCCATTATAGCCCCCAGAAAGCTGTGTAAAGCAGCATATGGAGCAAAAGTAAGCTGGAAACACGAGGAAGCTGTGAAGTCCAATGCATATGCTCTCTGGCCGCTTTTGCTGTGGGTTTTCACACTTTTCTTGGTTTCCTTTAACTGTCCTCCTGTCACTCTCGCTCAGCTCACTGAAGAGGCTGCGGCCTTTTGTTCCTTTTGGATCAGATTACCCGCATCCCTCCTCTCTGCCCACTGCGTGACTTCAGTGAGAGTGCTGGTGTGCACGTGTGTCTTCCATCTGCATGCTTATTGGACATGCCACCACCAGCGAGATGCCCTCTGTGCCAACCTAATGAGATTTCACACACAGAGGCCAAGGTGGCGTTCTGTTGAGGTCTTTACTCTTCTGGGCCATAGGGAAAGGTAACCAGTAGCAGGGCAGATTGTAGCACAGCAATGATATGAGACACACTTACGCTGGCCCAGCATTGGTAGGGGGCCCCCGCAGCAAAAGGAGCAGCACCACGAATTCAAACATATCTGTCTTTATTCCGCTGTCGTACAGATACAAGTCTTCGGGCCGACCCCTGCAGTCTGCTATTCAAGTTCTCCAACTGTAAATAATACATCAGCCCTCTTTTCCTCTGTGTTCTTCTCCCTCTTCCTTGCCACTATAGATTCTGTCAAAACCACATGTCCCGGGTCTCCTGCAAGGCCTTTTTATAAAGTGAGTGATAGAATAGTTTAGGCTGCATGGTAAATGAGAATAGCTATTACCAGCCTTCTTACCTTCTCTCTCTGCCACATTGGTGCATCTTTGTCAAAAGAATAAAGCCGGCTGGCTTTTCCTCCTTTGATGAGTAGATGGGTGGATTCATCTAAGGGATCTGAAAGTCACCTTTCTAGATCTTTCTCTGTTAGTTAAACAACTCCTTTCAGCATCCTACTACCCTCAATCCCTCCTCCCTTTCTTATTCTTTTTTTTTTTTTTATGTACCACTGTATAATTTGCTCCCTGTAAAGGGATTTATATCTTTGCATTTCAAAAGCCTGCTTCTTTCTTTCATTATTCGGAATGCCCCCAAACTTCCTTTGTTCCTCACCCAAATGCCAAGAGTGAGACTTACTATTGCTACAATGATATGTCTTTGCTGGTCATGGAAGGTGGTTTGATCTTCAGTGATGGTGTCCTGCAGTGACCTGAGCCATGGACCACCCCCTCCCCCCCATAGGAAATGCAAAGGTCTAGTAGCATGAAGGGGCGACCCAATTAGCTTAAAGAAAAGTGGAGGGAAATTCTTTAACTTGAATTACCTGGAAGGGTCTCTGAAAGAGGAGAGCACAAGCAGAAGAAGAAATGGAGGGATCCAAAGGCAGATGGCATTTATTCCCCAGATCCCAAATTTCAGACAGCCAAGTCTGACAGCACCTGCATCATCTCTGAGAGTCAAAGATAGTCCTTCTTGGTAAGCTTAAGCTTAGAGGCATCTGTGAGTTAGAAGAGGGCAGAAGAGTTCAAATCCTGGAAGGAACAGAACGGTGGCGTGCCCCTCCAATCTGGCAGGAACTTCAATAGTGAGAGGAGCCAAGCATGCCCCAGGGATGGAAATGGGACAAATCTGGTTCCCAGGACAACCTCCAGTGGCCAATGGCAGATGTTATAATCAAGTCATTAGTGGATGTTGCATATTGAGCAGGGTAACCACATGCCCTAGTTTTCTTGGGACACTCCTGGTTTATTCCTATTCTCTTGGCATAATTATTAATAGTGCCTCCTTTGAGTTTTAAGAAATTCCTATTTTAGACAGTAAATTAGATAACCACACTAATGGATAGGAGGACTTACAATGATGTTGCTAAAAGGAAGATTGATTTTCTTAGGTGACTAAAAATGTGGGTCTTTGCTGTTAAAGTTCTTTTGTGTCTGTGCTGAGTTTGGGATAGCCCAATTGTTCATGTGGGGCACTATTTTGTATAAATGATATTCAAGACGTTTATTCAAAGAAGAGACAATGTGGACAAATTGAGCTAGCTTTAAATAGAAAATAATTGTGTTGCCCACATCAGTCAATGTCTGCCTGATCCCATCCACCTAACTGAAGGCATTTTTCCCACCTAGCAGCTCGCACATCCCAGGAAGCAGCCAAGTTCCTGGCACAGATGTCTCTTCGGAGGGCAGGATGTTCCTGACATCTGTCTCTAATTATCCCTCCAACCATCTCTTCTTTTCACCCACATGCCTTGCAGGCCATGAAAGTAACATGAATGAGTGAAATGGGGTCAAGAACACAAGAGCCTAAGCACAATGATGACAA